AGGCGGTATTTGCAAGCGGGTTTTTAAATGTATTTCCAACATCAACATGTTGGGGCACTGACTTGGTTTTTTGGCAGATTAAAGCAATACATTTTTAAAATTCTCTTATTCAGAAGATATTTTAAAAAAAACGGGGGGAGGGGTGTGTTTTGCTTGGATTTCCCAAATAAACAAAGCTCTTTGACTTTGAGGACCTAAAGAAAAGACATTTTCTGAAATGCTAACTAGTTTCGTGGACCTCTACCAAACGCTGGACCACAAATCATCGCCCCAGAATGCGACCAAACACCGAGCTCCACTGGCCTGAGGCGGGGAAACTCGGGAACACAGGGTGAAGTTTGTTTTAATCACGCTGCAGCTTTCTGGGCTGAAATCGGTCCTTTCTCACACGGGAAACACGCCGCGAACTTACCGGGGCGTCGGCCCTCGTGGAAGCGGAGCTGTTGGCATTCTTGTCCTCAGGTTTCTGGGGAGCTTCTTCGGGCCCCCGCGTCACAAGGATCCTGAAATGCTGCTGCCCTGCGTTTTGATCTTGCCTGATCTTAAACGTGCACCCCTGACCCTGCGGAGTCCTCTCCACGGAATTTGTCCTGCGGATTTCGGGGGCCACCCTGCCGGCCCGAGGTGGCGTCTCCGGGGGTCCTCGGTCTTCCGTGGGGCTCCCTCGCTCGGTGCGGGGCTGGGTCGGGTACGAGGTGCTCCTCTCCAGCCGAATGCGGGGATACCTCACCAACCTGTCGCCCTTCGTGCCGGTGAAGCCAAAATTGAAGTCACCGCCCAGCCCCGGAGCGCCCTGCTGGGGCTGCTGCAGCTGGAAGACAAAGCACCGCTTCCCGGAGCTTCCAGAAGCATCTGGGACGTGCTGCAGGGACCAGCGCCGGGGCTCGGGCGCCGCGGGGCCGCCCTGGCCGTCGGGGCCCAGGGGCAGCAGCCTCACCTGGCGCACGTCGGCGCTGGAGGCGCGGTGCTGCACGCGCAGGCCCGGCCCGGCCTCCCCGGCGCTGTCCAGCGGGCCGGGGCCCCGCAGGCGGCCGCACGTGCCGTTGGCCTGGAGCCCCAGGTCGCGGGCTGCCCTGGGAGGGGAGCTCGCGGGGGTGTCCCTGGGCGAGGGCTCCCGGGAGCCGCTCTTTGGCGAGGCCCTCGCCGGGACTGTGGCCTGGTCCCCGAGGTCGGCCGCTGTGCACGGAGGCCCGTCGTCGGGGCCCTCGGGCGGCCCGCAGCCGTCCGTCGCCCCGTCGGAGGCTTTGCGCTGCAGGGAGATCTGCACCGACGAGCTGCGGGTCGGGCGGGCGTCGAGGCTGGTCAGGAGCTGCGGGATGAACATGGACGAGCTGCGCTTGAGCGCGCCCACGCCGCCCTGCAGGCCGCCGCCGCCGTCCTCCGCGCCGTTCTGGGCGAAGGGGTGCGGGCTGCTCCTCCGCGGCAGGGTGTGGAATGCCATGAAAAAGTCGTCTTCTCTCTCCTGGTCTAGGATCTCTGATTCGGGGGCTGTGTTGCTGCGACCAGAGCCAAAATGAAACCGAAGCCGATGGGCCATGGTGACCAGGGGGGCCGGGAGGGAGAGGGCGTGCGGCAACAACAGGCCCGGCGCTGCCAGAAGTCAAAAACCGAAGACACAAACTCCAAGAAAAAGTGTCCCATCTGCCAAACCGTTAGCACTGCGGCACCAAGAGCGACAGATAGCAGAAATAACCCAAGTGGCAAGCAGCATTCCAGGCATGATTGGATAAGAGCAAAAAGCTCTCATCCGAACTGTGACAGAGGGTAGGGTGGCCAGAACCACATGACCGCGCTCTCCCCCTCCAATGCCAGCTTGTGGACGCAGTGGAGTTTTCCCCCCTCTCGCTCTCATTTTTTTTTTTTTTTAAACAGCAAGAGCCTGAAACAGCACCTTCCCAGCTGCTGCTTTTCCATCAGAAAGGAGTGGCCCCGGCAGGGACCTCTCACAGCTGACTAAGGCAGCAAACACACTGCAAGCCATGCTGCTATAAATCTAAACCGCATCACACTCACAGGACATTTCTTTCCCAACTAAGCAGGGCGCTGGGAGTCTCTCTCTCTCTTTAACCAGTACGAGGGACCTGGCAGTAAACTCAAGCACACACGGCATTTCCCCACCACACCAAATAATGACGAGTAAAATACGGCTTGGCTGCCGGCAAACCCTTTCACAGGCATGGGATGCTACGTTTCTAGTTATTTATGATATCACTACCCTACGTGACGGAATGTAAACTAATAAAATGGACTATAAATACGATCACACGCCACAGAATTACTGTCTCTTTAATGCTAAATAATTAGACAATGATCTGCAAGTAACAAAATAGCTAAGTGGAGGTGCAGAGGGGCACAACTTACTACACAGTCAGCCGGCAGCTCCGTCTGCCCCCCGCTACTACAGCATTTTTCATTTAAAAGGTGTGTGCGGGTATAGAACTCACATATGACTGTCAGACACGGAAGTACCAGAGAAAACGAACCCAGCTGGAGAAAACATTGACTCCCATATGCCAGGTAGGAGGAAAACCGACCCCCCCCCCCGAAAAAAAAGGGAAGGAAAATTGAAAAAGGGTGTGTATTTGGTTTTTGTAGTAATTGTAACTTAAATACCATACAGAAGAAATGCTGCCTAGAGCTGACTGCTTTCCAGTAAGAAGTCAGTAATGTTACCACGGTTCGCATACAAACACGGAATCTTGCTATGTTTGCAAAGGGCCAAAAAGGACCCAAGAAATAAAAGTGCACATTCAAGAAACTGTCAACAGATTTTTAGTTGACTTGGAAATATTCTGTGTGTTTTAAACTTACTATTTTCTATGACCCAGAAACATCAGTTATTTAACAAAGAGGTTTATTTAGGAGGAGATAAAAAAAAAAAAAATAGGAGGGGAAAATACCAAGCTGCAAAGAGTGACAAAAAGTTTATTTTAAAATTTGCAAAGAATGACTTTGTCAACAGCTCTAGAGTCCAGGGTGTGGAGGATTAACCCTATGTTTACATACATCCCAACCTGTTTGCTAAAAGCATGTATTTCTAGAATGCCAAAAATGACCTCTGAGAGAGAAATGAAAACTAGTTTATTTAATGCTAAAACCTCCAGATACTACTATAGTCACGTACTGTTTTCGCTGGATTGATAGCCAACAAAGGAAACACCACTGTCAGCATTCTTTGCATAGTAACAACACTGCAGATGGCCCAGGGCAAAGCTAGGTATTATTTTTCAGACAGTTTGTATTCATATAGGATTTCTCAAAAGTTTTGCCTTCAAAGCCCTTTTTGGTTTGGAAGTACAGTTTTGGACCCATGGCAAGATCATCTCAACTATAGTCATTATTTGAAATATGGAAATGGGAAACAATGTTTTAACAGTGAACTTCTCTTAATATAAGAAAATTAAATAATGAATTAAAACACATCGAACAAGAGGCAATTTTTCCCGTAAAGCTGACCCTTTCTTCACCTTAAAGAAGAGTTATTATAATCAACAGATCAGAGAATAAGAATTAGTCTAGAATAAGGATTGTGCCCGTGTCTCCAGGGACTTAATGCCACTGTCAAATCCTGCTTAATTCATGCAGGCCCTGCTGGATGAGAGACAGAGAGATAAGAACTCCACCCTCGGCAAAATCTCTCATTCGATTTAAAAAGAAAGTAATTTCATGCATGCAACAGAAGTGATTTAGTTATTCTGTACTACTAATTATCACCCAAGGGTCAAAATATGGAGTTCAAGGCGTAGCCACCAAGATCCCATATTTTTACAGTAGGGCAGAATCTGTTAGTTTTCTATTTTGGAAAATAATACCAGGTATATGAGATTAAATACATTCCCAAATTCCATAATAAGGATGGCAGGCCTGGCTGTTCAACACCACTGAACTGAGACATAGGAGACCAGAAGGTGGGAGGGACCCTGGCGCTTCCACTGACTGACTTGTTTAAATTATGTAAAAGCTCTAGACCTGGGTTCTCTCATCTGTAAGAACAGGGAGTTAAATGAGTTGTTTTTTAACGCTCCTCCAGATCAAATATTCTACTAACCTCACGCTATTAAAAGAATTTTTAATTTCAACTAAATGCTGCAGAAAGAAAGGTTCATGAGGACACTCCTTTTAACCAATCAACATACCTAAGTTTTAGGCAAGGTAAATTTGAGAAATACTGACTGCACTGAGTTACGATACCAGTTCCGAGGGTAACTTAAGGACTTACTACAACATGACAATCAATGTTCATTTTCACAGCTGGAACGCTTGGCTTAGGGGTGCTTGATGTATACATTCTAGTTAGTTAAGAAAGCGAAATGCTTTAAGCCAAAGTTGCTTCTAAAATTCTATTTCTAAAATGAAATCTTAGTTAAATCAGCTATATATGTCACTTTCTGTATACATACACCAATCTATATTAATTAATTAAATGTTAGCTTATATCAGTTACATTCCTCAGGCATATCTCTGGTTCTCTCAAGGTACTTTCTAAGGATCTCGCTTGAGAAAGTACCACTTTTAAAATGTAGCTTAAATTTCCCTGCTAAATGTAGATTAACTTTTTGCTATATTCCATTAATTAGCTTTTTATTTTCCCAGAAACAATCACCATGGATTTGCTTATGCATTACAGCGTTACATTCTGGCTTATATTCTAAAATCCTACAAGGTTTATTTACATGCCTGGTAGCCTCTTTACAGATCTGCCTACCGTCTGTACTCCCAACACTACGGCATAAGCACATGAGCTAATCCGTCGCCAATGACTTTCATTAATATCAACTGCAATAAAAATACACACATATACAAATAAATTTTCTATCCTAGCAACATGAAAGTATTTGTTAGAATTATGAATGTCAAACTAATAATGGGACAAAAATATTCTTTCTGAGCACATATATACTGTCATAAGTACAATATAAATACAGAGTTGTAAAGAGACGGGTCCAAAAATCAAGTTTGTAAAAAAATGAAGCAAAATTCAAAAACAGGGACACACTTACCAATCTGTTTTCGTCAAACACTTCAAAAAGGAGTCTGTGATTAGATGGGTTTACCTGTAAGGGACATAAATAGTATTTTGTAAATGAACAGGAGTCAATTGAACAATGAAATAAGAGACAGAAAGAATAAAATACTGCTTTATGCAACCCACTAAATTGTGTAATATGTAACAATTCACCTACTCCTCTGGAAATTCTCTGTCTACTAAATCAAATTTTCTATTACTGATTTCTGTATTACTCTACTCCTAATTTAGACATACCTAAAGAAGAAAAGGCTCTTAGCTGTTTCTCTAAAATAAGAAAGGATAATTCTAAACAACTTTAAGGAGTTCCTAGCCTTCTTTACAAAAGACAACCTCATGCTTGAAGACCAAGGTCATATCTTCACAAGGGTCTATGCCTGAGGAAAATTCTTAAGCCTAATAGTAATAGCCGTAATGATAAAAATGAAGAAAATAGTAATAGCAGCTATTTACAACTGTGTGCCTATTTTTTAGGCACTGTCTCCTTGTTAAATATTAACAATACATGATCTCATTTAATCCTCACAGCAATCCTGTGATATATAACTATCACCCCAATTTTACAAACGAGGAGCCGAGACCCTGAGGGTGAAGCACCTTGCCCAAGAGCCCACAGCTAGTGTGTAGGGCAACCAGGACCCGCACCTGTATGGCACACCTGTCTCCAAAGCTTAGGCTGTGAGAGATTAGAAAGACCCAGAAATAACAGATGTCCCTATTTCCAGGAATGTGGGGCCAATGTCAGAGCTACTGGGCTTTTAATGTCTTTTTGCTTCTTTCTTTTACTTTACCAAAACCTCACCAAAATGGCCCATATCCTCCACACTTAGGTATCATTTACTAAGTACAACCACGTGTGTGACCAGGTGCTACGTGTTCTCATTTATATCACTGCATGTAAATCCCGGAAACAACCCTAACAAGTAAGGACTTCTCTCTCCTATATGAGAGATAAGGAGATTGAGAGTGCTCAGGTGGCTTTTCCAGGGTCATCAAGGCTATAAATGGTGAAGGCAAAGATATGACCCAGGTCTCCTGTTACTAGGCCTTGGCTGCTTTATGACGGGGAATGGCATGAAATAATATTTGATAGTACAAGAACAGAGAGCTCGCCTTGTACTTCTGGCCCCTTGGTCTGCCCATAGCTTAATGACAGCGCAAACAGATGGCCAGTGGGTTTGCTGTCTCTTTAGAAGCTCTGTGAAGCGCTGTGCTGCTAACCAATCCATCCACAGGCTATATAGGCAGGAGCTGGCATATAGTAGGTACTCAATTAAGATTTGCAGGATCAATAAAAACAAAGGCCTTAAAAAAACACAAAAACAGAATTTAAACATATCTATAGCCAAGTAAAAAGTGGAAAAAGTTTTAGATGTACTAAAATTTACATAATTATGGCCAAAGTGTTCAACTGAAAGAACTCTATATAATTCAGAGTTTCACAAGAAGAAAGCATAGTTGAGAGTTAACTAAGCACCTATCAGCCCTCATTAGCTTTCCAGTCCTTCACAGAGTAATTTAAAATACATCTGGTGGAGGCTACACGTAGGATCTCACCAAATATTAAAATATCAGTGCCATATTTCAGCTCTGAACATAATAGAAAACAGATTCTGTATATAGTAATCCAAGTCTGAAACACAAAAATACTATTGTCATTGAAAGAAATCAGGACCAATAAGTCTAATGGCACTATTATTGTTTGGGATTATGCACTAATCAGAAGACCTTACTTGGGGATAAGTAGCTTTAAATATCACACTCACACAATTAAAATATCTTCATTTTGAAGAGAAAACCCCTTTCTTTCAAAGAAATAGCTGAGCTGTTTAGTATTTCCCAAATTTTGATGACAAAACACAGCAAAATAACAAAAGCTCACTAATAAGAAATCTTTGCCAATTCACAGAATTCCATCATTTCTACATAAAGCTATTCTAAATATTAAATAGAAAAGGTTTAGGAAATTTTACCTAATTCAGCCATATTTAGCTTTTAGAAGTAATATATACACACTAAATATGTAAATTACAAAAATCTTCCTTCCTAACTGGTTCATAATTGGCAATTTTTATGCTTTTTAATCATGTTGCTGCTAGTGTTTTACTCTAATCATAACCCATGTCTCATAGAATTACATTGTTTTAAATTATATTTTATCCCATTTTTTAAAGAAAAGCTGAGTTGAAAAGATGTAATATGGTATTTGAATAACTTTGTTTTTATTTCCCCAAAACATCCCCAAATGAAACAAGTCCAAATTTTGTGACCACTACTCAGTCATTCAAAATTCAGGACACATTAAGAAGCTACCTAGCCATTTTTCATTCTAAAAGGAATTTCTTGATAAAAATGTACCAGCTTTCCCTCAATATGAATCTAGATATCAATATATCAAATCTAGATAACAATTATTACCCCCCAATTACAATTATTAAACAATAACAATTATTACCCCCCAAAATGAAACACTTACTCTAAAGTAGAATTCTTCATTCCATTTAGGGTTCAGCGTCTGGAAGAGAAATTATCTTGTAATATCTTTTACAGTCTTTGAAACATTAACATTTACTAATACAATACAGTCTACATATTTGCTTAAACATTTTTCTTGATTAAAAAAACAGCTAAGAGATTTTCAAAATGGCAATAAAAGCAGCATTTAGTCAATTATTTGAGACTATTCTATAAACCAAACTAGAGGGGGAGGGAGTACATTTATGAAACAGATGATTCATAGATATGAAACCATAAATTGCAGGCTATCACCAGAAAAAACAGCAGGGACATACAAAAGCCATCCTCATGAAAATATAAAAATTTCTTTCAAGAAATTAGCAGTGATATGATTATTTTATCAAGAAGGAAATTAACTCTGTTGACTTCCCCTCTACACCTGCTACAAATGTGTTTTGGAGAGCAATGGAGCAGGTAGGGGAAGGTTGAAAGTGTCCATTATTTATATAAATATTGAAATCTGAAGAACATTTTATAGAGAACAATATTAATGAGCAGACTTTATAACCAGAAAAAAAAAAAACCCTGCCAGTGATAAACCAAAAGAGAATTTTTTTCTTAAAATAACCAAGTTAAAAAATACTTGCCTACTTATCCTTCAATCCTCCTCTCCCTCCACCCATCAATCTATTGAAATACTCACCTCGTGAGAACAAGGCAAAGATAATTTTGTCATCGGAATGGACAAAAGACAGGCTGTCAAATATCCTTCAAAACTAAGATGAAGCCCATCCTATGAAGGAATATGTATGTCTGTGCATTTGCACATGCCTAATACTTTTAAACACGGCTCTTAAAAATTATATGTAAAACATTGAGACTGGAAAATCACCATCTCACCAGTATCTACAGAAAATTTTTTAGTATCAATCTATTTCCTTTAACATACCAGCTCAGGAAGAAGTTTCTCCAAAAAAAAAAAAAAAAGGCAATATAGCACATCATAAAAATATAAAACATAGAACTCGTATTAACACTGGACTGGCATTTTAAAAAATCAGCACTTTCTCCACCACCCACAACTCCACAGTGAATCTAATCCTAAATAATGGGGTTTCATACTTTGCAACATGAATGGAGCCGGGGAAGGTAACGCGCAGGGGAGCGGGAGAGGATCCCAGAGCCTGGTGGCAGGCCCGGCCACCCCAGGCTGCAGCGGTCCTGCGGGGCAGCTTGGTGGAAATGCACACAGGAAATGACAGGCAAGGGAAGCAAACAACAACATGAGAGCACAAAACAAATGAAGAACCAGCCACAGCACGGTGAAGAGAGGAGGATGAGGGCACGAGGGCAGTTCCTCCACCCGAGAGCAGCACAGACATACTAACCAGGAGAAGCAGGGCAGCCCCAGCCACGGATCTGCACCCTCTGCTGCGGGGAGGGAAGGAGGAGGAGCAACTCCCCTTGGAGGGAAATACATTGCAACAGCCCCAATCGCGGCTTTGGTCCTCAGCTCCGCATCCAGCAGGCAACCAAGTCCCCTAGGGGGCTGCCTCACTTGCAAGGATGCAAGGGGGCCCCCTGCTCGCCTGGTGGCTGAGCCAGCAACAGCGCCTAACGGGGGAACAATGGCCTCCGTCCTTCGCAGGCATCCTCCCCACTAATCACAATACTGGCTCCTGTTTGCAAAACAGATTTTTAATGCCCGTCCCAATGCCAGGTGGAGGACACACTGCAGCTACCATTCCTTACACAAAATGACCCGGCCGTGGATCTGAAGCGTCTGCATAGCAGCAGGAGAGTTATTAATAGAATTTTTTTAAAGCAATCATGCTGTCTAGGAAGTGTTTAACAAAGTGTTAGACTATCTAACCACTCCCCCAAGGGAAAGGAAAAAAACAGTAATCCATAAATAATACTAAAGCACAGAAGAAAATATGTATCTTCAGTAAAGCTCCCAAATATGGGGTAAATATCTGCATATACTTTACATATGTCATAAATACATGGAGATAGTCAAGATAAGATATGGATACAAATCTTTAATGAAATATGTACATAAAACTTATGGAAACATGTATATACATACACATATAGCTTTATTATTAATATATTTTATGTTTTCATGTAGCTAACCAAGTATTTCCCTTCCACTGGTAATAGCTGTTTCAAGTTAAAATCATTCCTTTTGTGCCTACCAATACCACAAACCACTCCATTTCATTAAATGTACTTTATTTTTAGTTTCTTTATGAAAAATAACAGGCCAACTAGAACAATCCTTTTACTGTATTCTTCGCAAGAAAAAAAATTACTACTTATAGTAAGACTTATTTTTAGGATATTGTTTTTACAGTCATTTAACTAAAAACCAGAATCAATATCTTGAGTTAATACTGAAAAGTTCTGGTCTATGGAGAACTTATAGATTTAATACTGAAATATTCTTGAAATAAAATATTGCCATCTTATCCTTAAAATATAAACTTCTACAAAACCAAATACAGTCATGTGTTGCTTAACAATGGGGATATGTTCTGGGAAATGTCATTAGGCAATTTCATCATTGCGGGAACATCACGGAGTGTATTACACAAACCTAGATGATATAGCCTACTACACACCTAGGCTATATGGTATGGTTTATTGCTCCTAGACTACAAACCTGAATAGCAATGTTCCTGTACTGAATACTGTAGGCAACGGTAACACAATGGTAAGTATTTGTGTATCTGAATATGTCTAAACATAGACAAGGTACAGTAAAACTACGGTATAAAAGATAAAAAGTGGTACACCTGTATAGCACAGCTCCATTATAATTTTATGGTACCACCATTGTATATGTGATCTATCACAGATTGAAAGGGTGTTATGCAGTGCATGACTGTACATTCTTTAATTGGATTGATGATTTCGATGAAATTTAATTAAGGATGGAGACCTACCTTTTTAATTGTTTTTGTCTGCACCAAAGCGAGTTCTCTATTCTCATCCGCTACGTACAACGAAAGTTTCACATACGGATCGCTGCAAGGAAATATTTCAGATTTAACAGGATTATACTTTTAATTTAAAACAAAGTAGTTGAATCTAAATGAAAATACATATATCAGTTAAAGTCCCAGCTCATATTATTTTCACACACTAAGCGATAACATTTTTAACATGGCTACTAAATCAATATACTCTGAGAAAACTATCACTTTGTAAGAATTCCAGGTCCAGGAGAATTCCTCTTGTTTCACACTTGTGATCCTGAAAATCATAAAAAGGCTCTCATGTATTCAACCACAAATTCCCCCTCATCTAATTATCTATAGCCAATGATTTATTTCCATCAATCTATCACGTTAATTTTATGCAATTTGAGAATTATCCTTTAGTGGCTATACCACAACTATTAACCCTTACTTTACAACGTCCAGGATGTTTCCAAAGAGTACACAGAGTACCTTAAAATGCTGAGACTATGTTGATTTATATTTGATATCTCAAATAATAAACATGCCATGAAACCCTTTAAGAGAGAAGTATGAAAAAATTAAAAGTTTGATAGTAACAGGACTATAGCCAATACCAGAAAAACTAAATCAAAGGTCTGCGAAAAATATTGTTATTATTAAGATGCATTTATTGCCCATAAAATGCATCTTAATAGAAGCTACAACACATATCCTAAAAAAAAAAAAAAAAAGCAACATAATTTGTTCTATTATCCCATTAAGGGTGGATATTTTTAACATTCTGGTTTAGAAGATATGAGTCAATCTTGCCTCTTATCCATAAGCTATAAATCTTTATTTGGTTAAAGAACATCTAACCAGATGCACCCACTTCTCCTTATATGGAAATCCTCAGCCTCAGAAAGATGAACCAAGAGCCAGCACCCAGCCTGAGCACCTTCCTAAATGGGAGCTTGTGGTCTGGGGGATGAAGCAGGTGTCACTTTCCAGGTGAGTGATGCTCAGAATTTAGCGTATCGGAATCACCTGGAGGAGGGGGTGGTTAAAACACAGATTGCTGGGTCCCATGCCCAAAGTTGAATCTGGTCTGGGGTGGAGCCCTAGCAATCTGCATTTCTAACAAGTTCCCACTGAGGCTCACTGAGTGGTGTCTCTGTGGCCCCTGATCCAGGAACCGCACCCAGAGAACCATTGCTCTAGATGGTGTTTGCAAACAGTCTTTTTCAGCTACATAAATTAAAATTTCTATTTGTAGCCACCAAGCTATTGCTTTAAAAAAATAAATAACAGTAAAAAAACAAAACAAAACAAAACAAAAACCACCTCAAGGCCTGAGTTTCAATGTTACCTGAAGAACAGGCTCCCGGCATGCCGTGAAGGTGCCTGCACACGCATACAATCCGGGGTTATGAGAGATACCATAAACCCTGCTGCCGTCTCTTTATGCCCCTCGGCTATCATGATTGCTGGCTACTATATAACTGCAGTAAAGATCTAAGCATTCAGCATTCACCTTAATAGAACATCCACATTCTTCCACTGGTCATTCATTTACCTCAGTCTGTAGCCCTTGAATAGCTCACAGTAAGTGACACAAACAGGTGTGGGTGGTGTCTCAGTGTCAGACAGCATGTCTTCCAGCTGTAATAAGGAAGTCATATCGGAACACGTAACGTCTTGAGTGCTCATCCAGGTAGGTACTAAGTTATACTTAACCCTATGAAAGATTGACCAAGAAACTTCCTGGAACAGAATTCAGCCAAAGGACAAGGTGCCCGAGCTGGTTAAAGGACGGTAGGGTGTAAGTTTTAGGGGAGGGGGAAACAGTCGCCCAGATGGCTCTTCTTCCCCTTCTGCTGGTACTTAACTACTACTATTAACTCCAGCCTGTTTGTGAATAAAATGGGAATGACAATTCCTAACTCAGGGGGTCACTGGCAAGGATCAGAGAAAACTAAGTATTAATATGAGTACCCAGTACAGTGCCAAACACACAGCACAAGTGCCCCCATAAACCACAGCCATAATTATTATTCTCTTCCCTCCTCTCTAAGGAGACACTTGAGGCTCTCTGTTGCTCCTTTTGACACCCTACTTCTGCCATGATTGCAGATTTGACGCTGATTACGTCACAGTTCGCACCGGGCACCAGCCAACCACAGCCTGCTAAGCATTCCATGCTTCCTCATTATTCAGACCGTGTGGAAGCCCCTGGGGATCTCAGTAGAGATGATCAAACTGGGAATCTTATTCACAGCAAAGATCCCCAGAACTCACTCTTGGAACCTACCTACTCTTCCAGAAGCTGTTGTTCAGTACAACTCAGGGTTAGCATTAATAACGTGACTCTCTAAGAAGCTCACCACCTTGTAGGAACATGTGGACTAGAAGAGAAATTCTAGTTTGTGAACCTTTTGTTTTCTCTGCTTAGTAAAGCTGTTTAGGCATCCCATCCCATTCTTCTTTCAGCTTTTCCAAGGAGACAATGAACTGCGATTAGGATTCAAACAACCTTCTATTTACTGAGCACCTACTACTATATTCTGGGCAAGGAGACAAGCTTCAGAAATAAAAGACACTGTGCAGTCCCTGCCCATCTGAACGGAGCAGAGAGAAATAAAACAATGATTGTGACAAAGTACCCAGGAATGCAACAGCAGCAGCAGTCCTTGATCTCTCACAAGCCAGAGTCACCTGAAATCTGGGTGCCTGGCCCCACGCCAGACCTGCTAGATCAGAATCTACAGGGTTAGGATCTGGGGATCTATATTTATTGGGTGTTCCAGGTGACTGCTGTGCACTGGTCCATCTGGGCACCACTGCCAGAGAGTTGTCTGAAGGCCCACACAAGGCTGGGATGCCTGGGCCAAGAACAAGGTGAGGGTTTTCCAGGCAGAAAGATCACAGGCAAAGGTCCAGGGACAGGCTGGAGCTGGGGTTTGGAACATTGAGATGTCTGGCACAGCTGCAGTTTAGGGCTCAGGAGAAAAGGCAGCCAGACATTCCTGCTGGGCTCAAATCCTGGCTCCCCTATTTGCAGCTCCATGACTTTGGGAAACTCATGTAGCCTCTCTGGGCCTCAGTTTCATCATTTATGAAATGGGGATCATAGCAGTACTTCCCTTATAAGGAGACTATCGGGAAGATTAAAATTACAATAGTGCTGGACTTATAGTAAGCCCTCAAATGTTAGTCATTGCCATCACATCATCTTGGGGTTGTTGACATACAGAAGATTCAAGATCAGATTCATTGCAAGGAGATGAAATAGCAGGCACAGAGTCTAGCTGGAAGGCTTCTGCACCAAAGAATGAGAAAGGTCTACACAGAGAGGTGGTGAGGATCAAAAAGAAAGGATTGCACACTCATCCAAAGATCGTCTCGAAAGAACTGGGTGGACAACTGAATGTGGCAGGTACGTAGATGAGGAGGACAGGGGAGTCCATGTCAACATCCAGGTCTCGGGCTCTTGACAACTTATGTCATTACACAAGGGGCCCTCAAATCTTTTGCTCCATGTTCATGATGATGTGTCTATATATAAGTTTGCAAGCACCCAACAAATGATGATGGTCTGAGCCTTCTGCCATCAGAGGATCCTAGTAACTTAGTACTATTTCAACTAGAAGTTTGAAAATTCAGACCGGCCTCCAAATCCAGATGTCTAGGTTGGGCAGACCCCAAAATGCACCCTGAAGGAGCTTAGGCACCGCATTTTTTCTCATTGTTCACTCATGAACTAGACACCTTATCAGTACACATAAGATTCCGTTTGAGGGAAAAAATAGAAGGGACACATCACGTTATCTTAGAGACATGAGACACACCAGAAACTGCATGAAATCAATGGCTGGAAGGCAGAGCCTCGTAACTGGAATGAAATCACAAGGAGCCCAAGAGCTGCCAAGATCCTCAGCAAAACATGCACAGGTATCTGCTCTCATGGAAGTCACCAAAAAAGTCCTGGTAAAATCCATTCTGATGTTACAAAACTTCCAAGAGAAAAGCTTTTTCATTGTTGTCTCTTTCACTGTCAGCATGGAGCCCCATGCTAAAAATTCTGTTTTCCCTCCCTGGGCCCCTGCTCCAGTTATCTCTAGTAGATCTCAACTAGGCTTAAAGAATCCAGACACAGAAATCTTAGGAGTCTCATTCCACCTTCACCACCACTAAGCAAAAGACAGTGTGGATGGGGTCATTTGTCAGGGGGAGTTGAAGACGAGACTTTCTGGGTTTGCCCTGTTGTTCAACCCTCTGAGACACGCTGAACAAGGACAGTCGGTCCCAACACATCATTGACAGGGTGATGCTTAACCATCTCCACCTGACTCACCGAAGTGTTCTACATTCTTTTGCACTTACTGTTTACTCATTTTTATCAGAATAAATAGTCTTCGCTGATATCCACATATTTTAAGGGGGGGCAGGGCAGTGAGGAGGAAGGACGGCTCAGGTGTTGCCTCAAAAGGGCAAAATGTCCAGGTGGATGACATTCAGACTGCAGCCAGGTTACAGTGACACTGCCTTGTCTACCAGCTATAAAGGTGTCCTTCCAACATACTTGGATATCAGAAGAACAATGAGAAAGGTGTTCATTTTTCAACCGTACCTCGTGAGGGAGCATCCCCACCATAATGAGGGAAGCAACAATTCTTCCCTGTAAAAGGTGCCCAGTGTGGTACTGGGGTAGTCTGCAAGAGGTTCATGCCTTTGTTTCCTATTAGCAAAGAGCAGAGGGCTAATTACACAGCACCACAGACCTAATTTATTTTGTCTACCTGACACACTAAGACTTAGCCAAGCCAGAGAAAGTTTCATTGCAAAACCCGTTTTGTTAAATGACAACTTGTTTTGTTGAAGGGTTCCTCATTCTTTTTCACTTTGACTGTTACTGTCAGTGTTAACGTTACATCAATTACTTATATATCCTTAATAAAGAAATAACACAAAAACATTTACATGCGATAAGGAAAAAAATACCTAGAAAGTGTGAGAGAAGAAATAAAACACATGAATCCGTGCAGTGATACTGAAACTGAAGTTTTAAAGCCAACAAACTGTCAA